AAAAGGATTTTTCAGGGATTTACCCTGGGGGGAGATGACCACAGAAACTGAACACTTCAAATCAGATCTGGAGGTAAGGAAAAGCTTAAAACATGCAGGAAAACCAATGGTGCTGAAATGGCAAAGGGCAGAGGTGTGACTTTGTGGTGATGGCAAGTATGGCTCTAGGATGGCCATAAATGCCTGGCTGGAGTAGGGACTTCAAAAGAGACACCTGAATTACTGGGGAAAAGGATTACCCTGGGAGAAGGGGGGTATTTTGCTGCTAATGGTGTTTTTGGAGGACACGTTCCAGCCCCTTACTGGAAGCAGCACATCCCAGGCCAGCATCGGGGCATCCACATGCATCCAGCTCCTCTTAAATCAGTGTTTTGTAGCACCAACTCTACCACCCCCAGCTTTAAAACCAGCAATGAAATAAAAATATTCATGAAATAATATGTGCCACAAGGCAGACCAACCCCAGGGGTAAACACAAGACCTGCAGGCACAATCCCTTCTCCCACAGCAGAGTTTCTGTGTCTTATGGCCCTGCAAACCTTTCTTCCCTGGTTCCTGCAGCATTTAGACAGCAGATGTCAGTTTTTCTGAACCTTGCTCTTGATTCACAGTGTTTTTTAAAGGTAGGTGTGAATGCAGGTAACCTCAGAGGATGGCACAGAGATGAAAATCCCAAGTTTCCCTGTCAATTACGAAAACTTCGTGTAGTCTCTCCCCAAATTTGAAGGCACTCACAAGGTTTGAATGCCTCAGCATGTCTCCTCAGGAAAAGGATTTGGAGGAGGAGAAAAAAAAAACCACCCAACTCGTAGCATGTTTATGAATCAGACTGTTCAGCGTGTGTTTCGGGGGTGGGAAAGGTGGGCGATGCACAGAGGAACAGAGCGCAGAGTTTGATGAGTCAGAAAATGCTGCTTTTCCTCCTCTTGCTGCCACCTCAAATACTTCAGCATGAAATAGAAATTTTATTTCTCTTTTTTTTTGCTTTTTATTATTGTCAAGAGAGAGCTGGAGCATAACCTTGGCTCGTTAGCAACCGCCAGCAGCTCATTCAACGTCAAGCCCCGCGCCGCAGGCGGAGTACGCGCAGACACATGCGTGTGCCGACGGATGCACACGCTCATCCTGGGAAAAGGGTGCAAATAAAGCATGTATCTGCCGTGTTTCCAGCAAAACAGGGGTCAGATGTGTGCTCGTGCCTTGAGAATGAGCCTTGGTGGGTTTGAGGAGAGGAGCAGCACAGCCCAGGCTGGATTTGGGCTCGGGGATGTCTCCTCCTCCCGCCCAGGCAGGCTCGGCATGCACATGGGAAAACACACACAAAGATTTGGGGATCCTGAAGTGAGGCTTGCAGAGACACAGGGAGGTGTGGTGGAAAAAACAAGCAAATTTTCTGGTGGGTTTTGAGCTGAACCAGGTTTGAATAACACTTAGACACAGCTACATTGCACCTGCAGCAAGGCATGGCATCTGCAGAGCCACCCCCGGCAGGGTCACCCCAGAGCAGGGCAGGAAAGAAGAGGATGGGTGAGCCCCAAGGAGGGCGGATGGGCAGGATGGTCCTGCCCAGCTGAGTTTCCAACCACAGCAGGGTTTCTGCTTCAGAGTCAGAGGAGATGAAACGCAAGATGAGATAAGCACCCCTATGCTGAAGCCTGGAGTTTGACTCTGCTGACATTCACAGCCCATTTAGGTTACCGATGGAGCAAATAAAATTATGCATACACATTAATGCCAGCAATATCCTGCCTGAAATGTATGCTCATTTACACTCAGAAATCCATTTAGAAGAGATAAATCAGAGCTATATTTAAAACAGAAAAATCACTTGTCTGTCCACAAAGCAACTCCTGTTTACATCTGTCGTTCCCCGGCAAAAATCAAATCATTTCAAGGGAAATTGTGCCCCTGGTTTTACATTTAGGAAGGGTGAATGCCCGTACCCTCCTGCTCAGTCTGTTATAAAGTAACAGATGTGCATTTGGTTATTTTTGTTTGTTTGGTGTTTTTTTAAAGTTTTGTGGTCTAATAACAACCTGTGGAGCTTGGAGCTAGTGGATGGGATGAGGTATAGGGAAGCACCTGCTAGGCACATGTGAGACATCCAAAGCATTTATTAATTAAAATTGACTTGGGAGATTCAGAATTGCCATGGTGAGACCTAAGTGTTCTGTGGCTTCTCCAGTTTCCTTGGCAAATGAAAGGCCATGCTGACAGCACTGATGACAGAGCTGAAACGAGAACACAAGCTCTTCCTGATGGAGAAATATCTTCTTCCACTCCAGTAATCTGTACCACACTGCTTGGCTCCCCAGCCACGGGCTGGAGATACCAAATAATCAGTATTGCTCTCTGCTTCCTCCTGCAAATGTGTTTGTGAGCCCTGGATCTGAAAAAAAAACAATTTTAAGCTCCAAAAGAACACCGCCCCCAAAAAATAAAATAATTTTATATCAGTCACACCAATGATGGCTGCTTTTCACTTAACGTCAGAGCTCGTTGCAGCTCGTATTTTTTTAAATGCAATAAAAAAGCAGCAGCCAGCAGCTCTGTGAAGCATGTCAGGAGGCAGTTTTTCAGAAAGATGATGTATTTTAGATTGTGATTCACGACCACACTGGCAGTTTGGAGCTCAAGATTAGAAGGAAATGAATGAATGTGAGACAGGAGGGTGCGAAAATGAAAGTAGCTGGAGCTTAAGGCCTGCTCTGCACTTCGAGCCTCACAAGATTTTTCTTCCCCTTCTGTGCGAGCTCAAACGAGTCACCAAACTGCCCCACACTTCTGCTGCTAGAGTTTAATTTAAACCTAAACGCAATTTAATACAGCCCATCTCCAAGCCCAGCTCGTTGTCCCAAGCTGCTCCCTTGTGGCACCCTCACCCCAAGCAGCTCTCCCAAACAGGACACTCAAGGGTCACCCAGCACAGCCAAGGTGCCTGCTGCCACAGCACAACCTGCAAGTTCTCACCATGCTGGAAAAAAACCCACTTTTTGCTTAAAACTAAGGTTTTAAACCAAGCAAAACACACATGTCCATATCTACATGGTTTAAGCTGTTATAAACTGTCTATGTCTCATTTGCACCATGAGAAAAATATAACTACAGCTCAGAAATTGCAGAAGTTATGAATTCTTAAAAACCTTGGACCACATTTCACTGAGGGTTGAACTGCCCACACCACAGCGAGCTGTGCAGCACAGGAGCTGCAGAGCTGTGCTTGGAAGGTGAAAGACACAGGGCACCCCAAAGTCAGCAGCTCCTCTGAACAACAGCCCATGAGAAACCCAGTGCTGGAGTGCACGGGAAACAAAACTGCCAAGCGAGGAGAGCACAGAGCCACTGCTTGCAAGAGGAGGAAGCAAAAAGAAAAAAAATTAAAGGCAAACTAATTGCCACCACTAACCCTTTGCTCTGCACCTACGTCACAGCTTTGAGCTCCCTTTGTCAAGGCAGAGCCCGGTGCCACTGAGCAGCCAACGTGCCTGACTCAGTGAGGATGATTCACTTGGGCAAACAGCAGAGGGACAAAGCCACCAGGAGCCCCACAGTGGTGATGCCCATCGGTGGCACCCTGCTGCACAGCACACACCACCCTCAGCCTGTGGGGCCAGGGCATGGCACAGAAACTGGCTGCAGTTATACCCTGAAATCAGACCAGCCACCTGTTTGACAAGGATGTATTTGGTGTTGAGGATGTATTTTGCGTTGAGGATGTATTTTGCCTTCAGCCCCCAAAGCAGAGGGGCTCCTCCTGGTTAAGCAGACAGGTCCCCAGCTGCCCCTCTCCAAAATCAAGCCTAACAGGAGCAGATGTGATTCTCCATGGCAAGAGCTCCCAAGTGCAGCCCTGACCATGCTGGCCCTGGGAATGAAGCTGAAGCTGCCTGGGACAGGGAGCACTGGTGGGATGGGGGGCCCTGAGCACAGCTCAGCACAGGACAGCTGCTCCCAGGGCTGCAGGAGTCACAGCCCTCTGATCCCACCAACAAACAGAAATGCAGACAGCAATCCTGCCAGCATCTACTCAGGCTTCCCTCAGCCTCATCCGTGAGGATCAAGCAAAAAGCAGATGCAACAAGCTCCAGCCCAGGAGACACTTTACACACTGATCTCCTTGCAGAAGTTTGAGAAGAGACTCACTGCTCCAAAGCACTGGAGCAAACCACCCTAACCCCTCCTGCTTCCTATGCAGAGTTCACGACCCACCTCGGTCACAGCATGAACAAAGCCACCCTAAAATCACCCGGGGGGATCCAGACACCCCAGCCAGCCCCTCCCGGGCACACGGAACACTTTCAAAAGACACATTTACAAATTCCCCTTCTCAGTCCTGTGAAGATGCCAGCGGCTCGCCGCGGGTCCCCCGGGTCAGTGTGACACCGGCAGGGCCGGGACACGGACGGTGTCCCCACCACCGCCGCCTGTCCCAGCAGCACCCACAGCCGGGGCTGCGGTAGGGGCGAGCGAATCCCCCCAGGACGCCTCTCACGGCTGTTTTGGGGTTCCCTCTGCCACCCGCAGGCAATGAGACCTTCCCCTCTTTCCTTCCTGGTAACAAGATATCGCTGTCCCTCCCCGCTTTCTGTCCCTCCGCCAGCGGAATTAACACCCCGCTAATTGCCGACGTTCCTGGCCGCCCGAACCCGCAGAAATTAGCCTTTAATTAAAGCCGATAAATATTGCCCTGATCAACAGGTGTCCCGCGGCACATCCCCACCGATCCTCCGCACAGCCGGGGCCGGGAGGATGCTCCGGGGGGACCCACGGCAGCACCCCGGACCCTTCCGGAACCGGCGGGGAGGGTCCCGCTCCACATCCCCATCCCGGCAGAGAGGATCCCGGTCACATCCCGATCCCGCTGGGGGGATCCGGGTCACATCCCGGTCCCGGTCGGGAGGGTCCCGATGGGTGCCAGGCGGGATGCCGATGTCCCGTTAGCGCTGCCCCATCCCACCCCCGCCCCGCATCCCACGGCGATCCCGTCGCTCCGCACTGACCATTGGGGCCGTACTTCTCCCGGTTGCGGCGGACCTGCTCGGGGCTGAGCCCGCAGCTCTCGCTGACCCCGAAGCGGCGGAGCACGTCGAGCACGGGGATGCTGTGCGCCGCCTCCATGCCCCGGCCCGGGGGTGCTGGCCGGGGGCGCAGGAGGCACACGGGGCGCCGCTCGCACGGCGATGCCTCGGCACCTCTCCGCCCGCCCCGGCACCGGGCCCGGGCTCCGCTCCGGCTCCGCTCCCCGCCTCCCCGGGCCAGCGCCGCCCCCCCGGCAGCCCCGGCACCGCGGGACCCCCGCGCCGCGGCAGCGGCCCCGCTGCAGATCTGGAAGGAACCGTAAAAGTCACCTCGTGCCACCCTCTGCATGGCAGGGACACCTTCCGCTGTCCCGGGCTGCTCCCAGCCTTGGGCACTTCAGGGATCCAGGGGCAGCCACAGCAGCTCTGGGCACCCTCACCCAGGGCCTGCCCACCTTCACAGGGAACAATTTCCTTCTTATATCTAATCTAAATCTCTCCCCCTTCAGTTTAAACTATTCCCCCTTGTCCTGTTGCTCCAGGCCCTTGTCACAAGTCCCTCTCCAGCTCTCTTGGAGCCCCTCTAGGCACTGCACAGGGCTCTGGGGTCTCCCTGGAGCCTTCTCTGCTCCAGGCTCAACAGCCCAGCTCTCTCAGCCTGTTGGTGTTTTGTCAGATTTCCAGGCTGAGAAGTGGGCAGGTTTGTGGGCAGTGGAAACAGTCCAGAGGAAATAGCTGTGCCTTAAGAAGTTGAGAGGTAAAGTTTCCATCACAAAAAGTAATATTAAAAATATCAGGAGGAATAGAAGGAGATGGGAATGCTGCATGGGTGCAGCTCAGCTGTGGGGTCTAAGGGGGCTGCCTAAGAGTGATGCTCCCTGGGTCCCCTCCAGCACCCTACTTCCAGCTGGAAGCTGAGCATGCCCAATCCCGCTCCTACTCTGCTGGAAGCACAGCAGTTCCATGCCCACTGACTTTGGTGGGATCAGGATTATCACTGTTTGGTAGCAGCAGGAGCCCTGGAATTACAAATCCCTGCCTGACACTCGTGGAAACCACTGACACTGTTCCCGTCAATGCACTCTGGTTTCCAGAGAGGCAGCTGTGCTGGGCTGCCTTTGGCTGTGGAAATGTGGGGTGTAAATTGTCACTGCAGGGAGACACAAAAAGGATCCAAGGGACCTCCTGTGTGGTACAACCTGAGCACCAACATCACTGTGTCCCTGGGACATCCCACACTTCGCACTCCTCAGTGCTCCTCGTCCCCACACACAAGGCAGAGCATCCATGTTTGAGGAATGGGCTTGTCCTGGAGGCTTTTATGGTTTTGCAAGGATTTTTCAACCTGTCTCACTCCCCTGTTTAGCCAGGTTCCCTGTCCCCTTCCTGCCTGGCTCCAGATGGGCCAGAGCTCCAGTTACACCTCACAAGGGCTGTACATCCTCTTTGCCACAGGATACTTAAATTACTTCTTCCAGCAGCAAAATGACTGTTTTTAGCAGCTCCCCCATGCAGCAGAGACCACCAGCAGCACCATGACGAGCCACCCTGATCTAGAAAAGGAGGGTTGCCTCCAAAATCCACTGTACAACCCAGCCAGGGGTCACCACCACCGCTACACGTGCAGGACTTTTTGATGTAGTGCACCTGACCCAGCTCCCTCGCTCCAGCAGCTCTTCCACGACCCAGCTCAAACCTGCTCCCAGTGACTCTCCATGTGAACACCAACTTCTGACTTTTCAGGTACTTCCAGTTTTCCCACTGTTGCTGGAAGAAGACTGTAGTTGATGGTGGCTGGCAGTGCTCTCCAGCTGAGAGGGTGGCAAACCCAGCTTCTACAGAAACCTACCCCAGGCAGAGCCAGAGACAGCAGCCAGTGTGAGGAAGGGACAGCAGACATGTCAGGGAGGAGCTCTGGCTTATTTATTTCCACCTAAATTAATTTATAGAAAATGTATATTGCAGCTTCTACTGGAGTGGAGGTCCTGAAGCAATGCAGGTTCCGTTTTCAAGTTTGATAAACTCATTGTTTTTCAGTTCACCACAGCTGAGGCGTGGGAGGCAGAGGGTGCTCCAGAGCTCAGCCCAGCATGTCACAGGTCCTCCTGCAAGGAGCACAGCTCCCACCCCTGCGGGCTGGCCTTGCTTCAAGCTCTGTCATTGTGTTCCTCTGTCTCTCATGAGTATTTTGGGACGAAAAGTGCTGTTTCTGCTGCTGAGCCCCCCAGGCAATAGTGCTGCCCTGGGCCAGAGTCTGCCCCAGAGCTGCCTGGCTCATGGGGCTGAGTGGTTCACAGAATCCCAGGATGGATCAGGCTGGAAAAGACCACAGCAACTCATCTGGTCCAACCTTCCTGCTCCAGCAGGGTCATCCCAGAGCAATGGCACAGAGTGTGTCCAGAGGGTTCTGGAATATCTGCAGTGAGGGACACTCCACACCCTCTCTGGGCAGACAGTTCAGTGCCTGGTCAATGTAAATGAAAGAAGTCCTTCCTCATGTTGAGGTAGAACTTCCTGGGCATCAATTTCTACCCATTACCTCTTGTCCTATTTCTGGGCACTGCTGGGAAGAGCCTGCTCCATCTTCTTGGCATCCCCCCTTCAGACACTGACAGACATGGATCTCCCCTCTCAGTCATCTCCTCTGGAGTCTGAAGGGCCCAGTTCCCTCAGCCTGTCCTCATTAGAGAGATTTCCACCAGGATCCTGGGAAGAACTGATATGATGTGAAAATATTAGCACATACCCTGCTCTTGACCAGGGGCACAGAGGACCTGATGCAATAGATGACCCCCAAAACTTGGGGGCTGCTCCCAAAGCAGTGACTCTGGTGGGGGTGGGACGGGACCCCTTGTCCCCAGCCTGCAGCCTGTGTGGGAGCTCCTGACAGGCAGCTGCCCCGGACTTGTTAGCCTATTCCAGGGAAACATGCTGCCCTTGGAGCAAGGCCTTTGCAGAAGGGTTCTTGGTGTCCTCCTGGGTGTGATTTAGATGAAGCCCTACAACCACAAACTGCATGCCAGAGGGTGAAGGTCTGGTTTAATGCTCATTGTGCAGACTGAGAACAAAGACACAGACAGCTCAATCTGTGGTGTGACTGTGGATGTACAGACCCTCACTGCTCTCCCCAGTGTCCCCTGACCCTTTTGTCACACTCTCCCAGCCCAGCAGTGTCCCATCTCACATGTGAGTCCAGGTCACATGCAGGCTGTTCCTGCTTCTCCCAGTTTCATGGGATGATGCCAGTCCTAGTACTGGAAAAGAGCACAAAGATGCTGTCCCAGCTGCAAAGTGAAAGTTTGACAAGGCTGGGACGGCTGAGATGAGAGGTACAAAGGGAACATCTGGCAGCCCTGCTAACAAGGCACCACCATCCACCCCACCTATAATTAAGCAATCCATGAAAACCATTAGCAATTGAAGCTGTAAATTAATCAGTGAGGGGAAAATGGACTGAAAACACTCAATCCTGCAGGGGAAGGGTCCACAGACACCCCGGGCTGTGGAGGGAGCTGGGCTCCATCCCTGGCAGCCCCCAAGTGTGGGGGATTCCCTTCTGTGCTGGGTCAGCCCTGACACAAAGGGCAAACCTCCTTATTTATCTTGGCTTCCCCCACGGTAAAACCTTTTGGAGGTAAACACGCTCAAGAGAGCCATAAAAAGAAGAAAAGAATGGATTTAACACCTCCCAGGCCACTGAGGAGTTTTTTGTAGGTTTTTTTTTTTGCCGTGGCTGCCGTGTGGGAGGAAGAGCAGGACCCAGCCAGGGCTGACTGAGCACTGTACAGGACATGAAAGTCTACAGGCAGTTTTGATTTTAATCTTGCTTCTCCAGAAGGAAATCAGGAGTAATTCTCCCCAAAGCCGTGCGTTTGCTGCCTGGCTGGGCTGAGGGCAGGGGCATGGCCGGGGCTGCCAGCGGTGCTGAACCCACGGCACCACCCTCACCCCAAGGATTTTACAGCCCATGGAAGATTAATCTTTTGTCTCCACTTTGTTCCTCTGAGATGGGGAAGGCATTCCTACACCTACTGCATCCCCTCTGCCTCCACACCAGCGTGGGTGTCATGGTTTGACCACGACTTTTCCAGAAACTTACTTCCTGGCCAAACCATGGCATTGGGTCACATCTACTGCATCCCCTCTGCCTCCACACCAGTGTGGTCCACATCTCCCCTCCTCGCTCAGGGCAAGGTCACAGTCTTAAGCTGCGTCAGGGGAAATAGAGGTTGGATATTAGGCAGAAGTTTTTCACAGAAAGAGTGATGAAATATCAGAATATTCTGCCTGGGGAGCTGGTGGAGTCACCATCCCTGGGTGTGTTTAACCAAGCCTGGATGTGGCACTGGGTGCCAGGGTTTAGTTGAGGTGTTGGGGCTGGGTTGCACTCGATGATCTTGAAGGTCTCTTCCAACCCAGTCATTCTGTGATTCTGTGAAGCTCATCTCAGTGCAGAGGGCGTTAGAAGCGGGCAGCACCTGCAGGAGCCAGCCTTGGATGCACCCTTCACTCCTTTCCAGGGATGTCACTGCCACCCCCGAGGTCCCCACGGGGCACACCTGCGGTGGTGGCTCCCAGGAGAGCAGCTGGGAGCCCAAGGAGAGCAAAGTCAGGGCTCTCCACCCCAGGCCGAGCAGCTGGTGAGGCACCAGGAGGGGCAAATCTCTGCTGTCAGCAGCTCTCACCTACCCAAATCAGCCCTGGTGATGGCAGCTGCCCCATGTCCTGCTCCCACACCCTCCCCTGGCCCAGGGCGGTCACACACAGGGGTAGTAATTAATTAATTAATTAATTAGAGGTGACAGTGCCACTGCCATTTGTCATTCTGCTCTACTCTCACTGCACACCCCAGTTCACAGACAGCAAATCCCCATCCACAAGGGACAGTCAGGAACAGCTTTTTTTTCCCCCCTTTTTCCTTGCAGCATCTTAGATATTTGCTTTTCCTATGGAGAAAAAAAAAATAATACTCCTTGAAATAACAGTTTGAGGCTTTTCTAAATGTTACACGCCAGCTGACCTTTCAGAGCCAGGCTTAGGGGTTTATTTCTAATCCCCTGGCCAGGACTTGCAGCAGCTGTGGGTCAATCCCGCTCCCTGAGGGCTCAAACATCAATCCTCACCACCAGGATGCTCAGGGCTGGAGCTCTGGTGTTCCCACCCTTCCTGGAAATGTATTCCCTTGGCTGTGCATCC